AAAAACATCGTCACAATTAAAATCGGCAGTATGATTATCTTGCTCAAAGGTACTAAATTTTAGTCCCACTTGACATCTCAGCATATTTTTATACCCTTCACCACACTATGGTACAGGGTATTATGTCTTTGTGCATATGTTTATAACAGGCAAAAGGAATCGAGATATATCACTTTCTGAGTCGACTTTCTGAGTCTGATGTTAAATTGTAAACAAAGTACAGGTCGCATTTATAATCCGATTTGATGAAATATGGCACAAGCCACTTATTTGGCCCAAACAAAGAAATACAAAAACGGTCGCATTTATATATATATATATATATATATATATATATATGTCTGTTTTTTAAGTAAATGGTGCGCTAAAGATCCATTGACACAACGTACTGAAGATAATATAAAATAATTTCTGACAAGTTTCCTTGTAATCGGTTCAGATATAGATATAGCATAGCTTCCATATATAATTTCGACTTATTCATGTTAATTGTGCACCAAATGATCAATGGGTGTCTGATTGAAATTAACTTTGTTTTCTGCTTTAAATCGATTTACAAAATTTAGCATAGGTTGCAGAATGCCATGTATAGGGATTGATGTTAGTCGGTTTAGATGTCGATAAAGATCACATATTTAAATTCGTTCAATTTCATGTCAATGTTCCTTCGAAAAACGACGTCTTTTAGGATACATATATTGAATATACCCAAAGCGGTGAAGGGTATCATATATACGGCCCAGTCCGACTTTACCACTTTCCTTACTGGTTAGTAGTTCCATTGTGTGCACCAATATATTTCAATTTATATCTTTCGGTTTTATTACCAACCTGAAATCCGTTAACGTCGACGAAACGTTTTTCATCTTCCTAGGATTTAAAAAAAAATAATTCGACATCTGAAACAGCTATGGTTAACTTATGTAATATTTCCAGGCCAATGAAAAGTTCTCCATGCGGTGAATTACCGAATCCGTTTTTATATTCGGTTCAATTTCTTTAGAAATTGACAGATCCATCCTTGCGCTGCCATATTGTTGTCAAGGTGAAAACAATACAAAATGAACATTTTAATTAATGCTTATCTCATATACCAGTACGCAGGTGTTATAAACGGACTAGACCGACCTGAGACAAGTTAATAAAACTACACCTAATTATGCAAATCATTGGACATAATTTATTCAAAGAGAAAATTCGTTAAAAAAAAAAATTATTAAAAACCACATACACATACCATTTTGAAATCTATGAAAAAAATCAATATCAATCGGGAAGACTTGGATTCTTTGATGTACCATTTGCATGAAACTGGTGAACCATTTACATAAAATCTGAGTATAATATATGTAAATCTAAAAGATTTCAACAAACCTTCAAAGCCACTAAACGTGACCTAATTCAGTACGGTGTGCAAAATTGTGCCTCAATCGGACAATCCTTGGGACTTGTGTAAAAATGTGTCCAAATTGGATGAAATTTTAAGTACATTTTGAATTTTTATACCCTCCACAATTCTATGACGATATACCCATGTCCGTCTGTCTGTCCGTCCGTCTGTCTGTTGTAATCACTCTAGCCTCTAAACGAATTGAGGTAAATCGCCAAAATTTTGCATAGAGTCGTCTTTTGTCTGCAGGCAGGTCCAGTTCGAAGATGGGCTTTATCGGTCCACGTTTAGGCATAGCTCCCATATAAGGGTACCTCCCAATTTTCTGTATTTTGGGGTTCTTGAGCGCATTTTTAATCGAATTCGCTGAAATTTGGCACATTGGGTTCTTATTGGGTACCAAATATCTCTACTAAAAGTTATAAATATCGGTTCACTTTTTCTGGTAGCCCCTATATAAGAGTACCTCCAGTTTTCGGTATTTTGAGGAACCAAATTTCTCCACTAAAAATTATCAATATCGGTCCACTTTTTCTGGTTCCCCCACATAACGGTACCACCTAATTTTCAGTATTTTGTGGGTTTTTATCGTATTGTTTCGTCGAACTGGCTGTAAATTAGTATTTTGTGTTCTCTCCACAAAAAATATGAATGTATGTCCATTTTTTCGGATAGCCTCCAAATTTTTGGTATTTTGGGGTTCTTGAGTGCGTTTTTCAACCGAATTTGCTGCACTACTCCTCATGTTTGTAATATTGACATGAAATTTTGCACAACGTGCAAAGTTGAGCATTTTGATATTTGCTTTAAATCGATTTACATAATTTTGACTCATTTTAACAAACGAATGACATGTCTGGTAGCCCCCATATGAGGATACCCCCAATGCTTAGTTTTTGTGGGGGTTTTGGCCGGATTTTTTCACCGAATTGCCTGTAATTGTGTATTTTGGGTTCCTAATAGGTACCAAATTTCTCTACAAAACATTATATATAGGTCCATTATTTCGGGTAGCCCCCATATAGGGGTTCCCACCAAGTTTCGGTATTTTGGGGTTCTTGAGCGCGGGTTTCAACCGAATTCGCTGAAATTTGCTACAATGGGTTCTTATTGGATTCCAATTTTCTTCACAACAAAACATAAATGTAGGTCCACTATTTCTGGTAGCCCCTATATAACGGTACCCTCTAATTTGCAGTAGTTTGGGGGGTTTTAATCTTCCTCGCGTTTTTCAACCAAATTAGCTGAATTTTAAGGTCATATGGGAAATTACAAAATTCTTTTAAATTTCCATTAAAAAAATTTTGAAAAATTTTTTTGCGAGCACATTTATGCTTTTTGGTACATAGGTTAAGAAAAATATGCTGATTCGAAACCTGTTCTTGTTCACAAATTCGGATGCTGCGCACAAAAGTTATAGCGGTTTTAAATCTTGTATTTCAAATATATATTAAATGGATTCCTTTTTGTTGTAATTCGCGAATTTCTTCACAACTGGATAAACAAATTTGTTTTCTTTGCATACTTGTCAATTCACATTGAAATACTGTACAATATTCGCGAAAAAAAAAACAAAAAGAAGCATAATTATATGTGAAAACAAAATAAATTAATTTTTCAATTAAGGCAGAACTTTTTTTGAATTTTCAATTTTTAGTATGGTTAAGGGAATACCGTTTTGACTTAATCTTCTAAAATATATGACGCTTTCTTCTGCAAATTCTTTTGCATGATTGTTAAATATCGGTAGATTCATCTGATAAGAGTTTCGACGTTAAAAATGATTAAATATATTGCACTTACAATACATAAAAATGATCAATATTGAAAAGCATGCTATTCGCGTTGTCGTAGAAATCAGTTGTTGCGCATGTGGTTTTCGTATAAATCGAATCAATCTCTTCCAATAATTATGAATTTTTCAATGTTTCATTTAGCGGCAAAAGTGTGCCGCTCGATGCACTTTACTGTGCAAAAACTTTAAAAATGGCTAAAAATGACGCATCCGATTTCAGTAATCTCCTCTGAAAATACACAAACGGGCACCTATTTTAAAATGATCGGTTAAGAACCGCGGATGTGCCTCCACAATCGACTGGATAAAATACGCATATTATTCGCGTATCGATATATTTTTGATCTATTTTCACACAGATTCGCGAATATGATAACACAAGCATGAATGTATTTAAAATCAATTCGAAGAAAAACGCGATTATATACGCGAATTTGTCAAAATATGTTTTTGCAGTTTTTCCCACATTCAAGGTAACTATATCCGCCGTTTTATTGGGCGGAATTGAACATGGCTGGATCATTAGATCCGGCACGTAAAAAAAACGTGGGGTTCCACGGAATTTGTATGGACTTTCATAAATTTAGACTCAAAAAATATGTTTTTTATAACAAATATAATATAATAAACTTACGCACCAAATTTTCGTCTTTGGAACCCAATTGCAAAGAAGCTACGGTGAATACATTCATGAGATATACACTAAACGAAGTAAAATCACGAGTTCTACAATCCTATAATTACTTTAGTCCGTTATCTGCATCCTAAATATAAGAAAAAATCAAAAAACACCGAAAATCCGGCTTCAAAATGTCAGCATCCATTTCGGGTGGATGCAGTGATTATATCGAAAAATCATACATTAGAACCATGTTGTCCATGGGGTATTCTGCAACTTAGTCACTGTTCACATATGCGTGCGTTGTGTAGTTTAGCCACAAATCAGGAAGGAACAAAAAAAAACTCGTTGGCTTCAACGCATTTTCACCCATTTTTTTTTTTACATTAACACTTTCACAGCTTCCACCGAACTTATTATTTATTACCAATATTTTATGATTTTGACAAGAACACTTCATATTATAGAAACGAATATTCATATTTCGCGATTTATAAACATGCAAACCTCAGGTTCAAGGAATTTAAAAAAATTTTGTGATTTCCCATATGCTGAATATACCCAAGATGGTGAAGGGTATCATATAGTCGGCCCAGTCCGACTTTACTACTTTCCTTACTGGTTTATATTAAAATAGTTATCTGATTTGTTCCGCGTTTTGAGTTTGGTTCTAAGACTCTGTTGTAATCATTTCACCTGCGGAGGATAGCGAGATAAAAAATAGAACTTAAGGTTCGATAATGGACTATAGCATAATTTAGACCTAGTCCCTGTGTGGAGGTTTCAGAAGGAGAAGGAATTATCAATTAAAAATTTCTGAAATTTGTATTATGGCTTACATAATCCGTTTTTAGACATGTCGGTATAGGTCCACTTTTTGGTATGTTCCATATATTTTCATTTCTAGTACCTGTCAGTATATCTATGGTGGAGGGTATCCAAGTATCCGGCCGAACTTAACTCTTTTTCACTTGTTCACATTACTACTATCACAGCTTCCACACAACTTATTATTTACTAACAATATTGTAATATTTTGACAAGAACACTTCATTTTATAGAAACGAACTCAAATTATGTGCAATATATTCATATTTCGCGAGTTATAAGCTTGCAAGCCTCAGTTTCAAGGAATTTAAAAGATTTTTGTAATTTCCCATATATTTATTGATTATCTTAAACGTATACCCTCTTTATTAATACTTTACTTTGGGGCGTATTAACATCTCTGCATATTTAAATGAATAATTAATGCCTTTCCACGGCAAACTATTCCAAGAAACACCCTTTGAGGTAGCATTTTCTTTTTGTCGATATGGTCCAGTTAAATGACTGAAAATAGAATAGCCGTATTAATAAGACACAGAAGGTAATCATGAGAGCTCTATACCAAAAATAACAATCAGTGAACCACCAACCACCTTCATACGATTGGGCACAATTAGAACTGGCAGTATCATTATCTTCGTCGAAGGTACTAAATTGTAGTCCCAAATGTTTTGACAGCTTATCTTCAATTGTTCCGCTATGAGCACCCAAATATTTCAATTTATATTTTTCGGTTTCGTTGCCAATCTGAAAACCATCATAGATGGCGTAACGTTCTTCATCATCCCAGGATTTTAAAATAACCTTTAATTCGACGATTGGAACAGCTGTGATTAGTTTATGTAATTTTTCGAGGCCAATGAAAAATTCTCCATGTGGTGGATTGCCGAATCCGTTTTTATATTCGGTCCAGTTTCTGTAAAAATTAACAGAACCATCCATGCGTCGCAAGATTGTTGTCCAGTTGAACCTAAATTATTTAAAACCAAACAAATATGCTATTAAATACGATTATTATTTTTTAACTATTTTTTTAAATTATTTGTAAAGCATTTTTTTCAGAAAATATCGAGCTTTTACAATCCCATATCATGCCTAAGGCTATTCGATAAACATTTTCTTTTTAAATATTGACTACTTTTTGGAGTCATTGTAATAAATTCAAATTGAGCGTATACACCATAGATTCATTCATGTGTCAATTATTTGTATATGTAATTTAAATAAATCCATTGATATTTTAAATGTTACCTACCCATCATTAAGTTCCATATTAAAATTGATGACACCATTCATCCACTCAGCGTGTTCCTATAATTTCTTCAGGTCTTTGTCATGTTTTTGTTCTCTGAAATTAGAAAAAAATGTGAAAATGTATATGACGTGTGGGCATTTCAAATCATGCATATTTTGAAGATTTCATAGACATAACTGTTATTCCTATACAAAATTAAAAACAAACCATTATGAAAAGTAGTACAGTCGAACGTGGCCGACTATATGATACTTTTCACCACTTGGGGTATATTCAAGAGATGCATCTGAACACACGTCGCATTTTTGAAGGACAATTGACATTAAATGGGACGAACTTAAATATGTGATCCTTTCTATATTTGAACCGACTTAAATCAATCCATACAATGGGACAAAATTTCTTTAATCCAGTTAAGGGGGAGTCCCCTTAAATTGAAAAAAAAAAAAATAAAACAAGTGAAAAAGCGTTAAGTTCGGCCGGGCCGAACTTTGGATACCCTCCACCATAGATATACTGACAGGTACTAGAAATGAAAATATAGGGAGCATACCATAAAGTGGACCTATACCGACATTTCTAAAAAGGGATTATGTAAACCATAACAAAAAATGCATTAATTTTTAATGGATAATTATATACTATGGCTAATCGAAATATTGGTTCTACACCCCATGTTTCTTTGGACTAAATCCGTTACAAAAATTATTACATCAGAGTCTTAGAACCAAACTCAAAACGCGGAACAAATCAGATAACCATTTGAATATAAAAAACGGGGTTCTATGGGGACTACCCCAAAATAGGGGCGAATATTAATAATTTTTGGTAGAGAGATTTGGTACCATATACGACTACAAAATACCAATTTGCAGCAAATTCGGTTGAATAACGCGTTCAAGAACCCTAAAATACCGAAAATTGGGGGTACCCTTATAGGGGGGCTATCCGAAAAAATGGACCTATATTCATAATTTTTTGTGGAGAGATTTGGGACCTATTAAGAACTCAAAATACTAAATTATAGCTAATTCGGCGGAAAAATACGATCAAAATCCTCAAAATATTGAAAATTAGGAGGTACCGTTATATGGGGGCTACCAGAAAAAGTGGACCTATATTTATAATTTTCCGTGGAGACATTTAGTACCCAATAAGAACCCAATGTAGCAAATTTCAGCGAATTCGGTTGAAAACGCGCTCAAGAACCCCAAAATACCGAAAATTGAGGGGTACCTTTATATGGGGGGTACCAGAAAAAATGGACCTATATTTATAATTTTTAGTAGGGAAATTTGGTACCTAATAAGAACTCAAAGTACCAAATTTCAGCGAATTCGGTTGAAAAACACGCTCAAGACCCCAAAATTGGGGGGTACCCTTATATGGGAGCTATGCCTAAACGTGGACCGATATACCCCATCTTCGAACTTGACCCGCCTGCAGATAAAAGACGACTCTATGCAAAATGTTGGGGCTCTATCTCAATTCGTTTAGACGCTAGAGTGATTACAACAGACAGAAGGACATGCTTAGATCGTCATAGAATTTTTCGCTGATCAAGAATATATATACTTTATAGGGTCGGAAATGATTATTTCGATGCGTTGCAAACGGAAAAACAAAACTAATATACCCTCCATACTATGGTGGAGGGTATAAAAATTAGTCTAGTTGTGGTGCATTCGGAGTGTATATTACAAATCTACTTAACGCCTGTTTATATGATTAAAATAAATTCGTGGTATATAATGTTCAAAGGAAAATGTTTAGGGATATTTTCCTTTGAAACCCCATTTTTGTAATTTCCTATTTTGTGATACGTTCAATAATATTTTACATACCTCTTGGTCAGATCATGAAGTCTGAAATAAAATAACGGTCATCATTAGTTGCCTGCCACAATCTATTTCTAAAGAAATACTTACTTTTCATTAAGATTTTCTGATTGCGTCAAAAGGGTATTTACTTTTATAAATAAATTCTTCCACAAAATCAAACGATGTTCATCTTCATAGGGATTCTAAACGAAATTGGAATACAATTGTTTGTCGAAACAAATTAGTTGGTTAATGTTTTAATTTTATTTGCATTTTTTGCTTACATAGTATTCCTCGCTGGTTGCGTTATCAGCTGCATTATTACAGTTGATTAGACCTTTTAATAGGACTATTACGAATAGCGTTTTCATCGAATGTTCGATTAACAACATATTGGATTGTACTGATTATATTCGCAATAGTAATTCCCTTTAAAAGTGGAATCTGAAATTTATAAAAATTCAGATTGATTTGTTTTGATTATTATTATACCCTCAACCAGAAGGTGGAGTGTATATTAAATATATCATTCAGTTTGCAACACATCGAACCGTATACCCCATAAAGTATATACATATATTCTTGATCAGAATGAAATTCTATGTGGATTTATACGTGTCCGTCTGTCTGTTGAAATCACAATAAAAAACGCAATATTTGAGATAGAGCTTTAAAATTTTGCACTGGCATTGCTGTTACTCTTAGGATGGTTGGTATTGCAAATGATATATCGGTCCACGTTTTGGTATAGCTCCCATATAGCGATACCCCCTAGTAATCGGTATTATAAGATTTTTGACATGTTTTTCAACCGAATTGGCTGTAATTTGCTACGGCCGGTTCTCATTGGGTATCAAATCTTCCAACGAAAAATGATCAATATTGGTACCCTGACTTTTTCAGTATTTTGGGAGTTTTAGACACGTTTTCAATAGAATCAAATTTAAATTCGTCATTATTGGCCTATGTTTGGGGTTAGCCCCAATCTAATGATATCCCCAAATATTCGTTATTTTGATGGTTTCAACCTAATTGGTTGTGCTTAGTTATTTTGGATTGTGGTATGGTGATTAATTACTAAAAATTGTCAAGCTTGGCTCACCTTTTAGGGAAGCTCCCATATAACGTTACATCCCAAATTTCAGTATATTGGGACCTCGGACACGCGCTTTAATTAAATTATCTGTTATTTTATACTTTGGATTCTCATTGAGTAGAAAGTCTTTCTATCAAAAATTATCAATATTGACCCAATTATCCGGGTAGTCTCTATGATTCAACTGAATTCGCTCTAATTTGATTTATCAAATTCTTATGGGGTGTCAACCTTACCACCAAAAACTATAAATCTCAATTTTTAGTTTGGTATATCTCTTATAGGTTGGTATCTTCCCATTTTGAAAACTTTAACCGACTTTTCTCTGTATATGTAATTTGGAACACTACAACATAGTCCAGTTATAAATGTACCGATCGACTTTAGGAATTTTGAATGGAGGATATAAAAAGTTCGGCCCGGCTGAACTTAACGACGTTTTTGCTTGTTTTTTATTAAGATTTATTATTAAGGAAATTCGATGCTAAATAGTCTGACTCATTCTTATCACTTAAATGGTCACACTAGTCTCGTGTGAATTAGAATTCATTCCCAGCACAAGCTATAAAATCAAAAAAAAAAAAAACTCGTTATCAATTATTCTTATCAATTTAGCCTATAACATATAATGTAATAGTATTAATTAAACGTGCCTGTGCAATTTGATATTTTCCGTTCTCTTTCTAACCAATAAGGAAAGTAGTAAAGTCGGACTGGGCCGACTATATGATACCCTTCACCAAATTTATGTAAAATCGGACGAAAATATATATGGGAACTATATTTAAATCGTAACGGATCTTCACGAAACTTAGCGCAAATCATTTTAGACTCAATTCAGTACGTTATGCCAAATTTCGTGTAAATGGAAAATTACATATGGTCTTTGGTGCACTATTTACATTAAATCGGACGAAAATATATATTGAAGCTATATCTAAATCTGAATCGATTTTCACGAAACTTAACACAAATCATTCAAGACTCAATTCAGTACGATATGCCAAATTTCGTGCACATCGGAGGATATATAGGGACTTTGGTACACCATTTACATTAAATCGGACGAAAATATATATGGGAGCTATATCTAAATCTGAAACGATTTTGAGGAAACCTAACACACATCATTCTAGACTTTATTTAGTACGCTATACCAAATATCGTGCAAATCGAAAGATGTCTAGAGACTTTGGTACATCATTTACCTGAAATCAGACGAAAATATAGATTGAAGCTATATCTAAATCTGGACCGATTTTCGGGAAACTTCACATATCATTCTAGACCTAATTCCGTACGTTGTGCAAAATTCCGTCCAAATCGAAAAATATTTAGGGACTTTGGTGCACCATTTACATTAAATCGGACGAAAATATATATGTGAGCCATATCAAAATCTGAACCGATTTATCCCAATTTCAATAGCGTTAGTCCTTGGGCCAAATAAATTACCTATGTTGAATTTCATCCAATTCGGATCATAAATGCATCCTGTACTTTGTTTACAATTTAACATGGACAGAAAGACGGACGGACGTGACTCTATGCATATTCTCAAAAGGAATTATGTGCCTATCTCGTTTCCTTTTGCCTGTTAAAAAATGTGATGAATGGTATAAAATTCACACTGTGAAAACAACAACAAAAATTTATTCAGGGGTTCTAATGCACAAATTCTTTTTAGTTGGAGTCCCTGGACCATAAAAATACGTTTGGGTCACTTCGTACATTTTTTATGTGAAAATATGCATATTTCACTTATTATAGTTTATTTCTAAATAAGGACTTAACAAGTTAAAATACAGCAAGTGAAAAAGCGTTAAGTTCGGACGGGCCGAACTTTGGATACCCTCCACCATAGATATACTGACAGGTACTTGAAATGAAAATATAGGGAAAATACATCGAAATTTCTACAAACCGATTATGTAAACCATAATGTAAAATATAAAACAAATTTCAGAAATTTTCAAGTTCGAAGATGGGGAATGAGCGGGATTTTAATATAAATATAAAAAAGGGAGTTAAATGGGGACTACCCCAGAAAGGGGGCGAATATTCATAATTTTTGGTGGGGAGATTTCTTACCACATACGACTTCAAAATACCAAATTGCAGCGAATTTGGTAGAAAAACGCGCTCAAGAACCACAAAATACCGAAAATTGGGGGTACCCTTATATAGGGGCTATCCGAAAAAATGGACCTATATTTATAATTTTTAGTGGAGAAATTTGCTAGAACTCAAAGTACTAACTTACAGCCAATTCGATGAAAAAATGCGACCAAAACCCCCAAAAATTCGGAAATTTGGGGGTACCGTTATATGGGGGCTAGCAGAAAAAGTGGACCGATATTTATAATTTTTAGTTTAGATATTTGGGACTAAATAAGAACTCAATGTTCCAAATTTCAGAGAATTCGGTTGAAAAACGCGCTCAATAACCCCAAAATTCCGAAAATTGGGGGTACCCTTATATGGGGACTATCCGAAAAAATTTACCTATATTTATAATTTTTTGTGGAGAGATTTGGTACCTATTAGGAACTGAAAATACTAAATTACAGCCATTTCGGTGGAAGAATACGATCAAAACCCCCAAAATACTGAAAATTAGGAGGTACCGTTATATGGGGGCTACCAGAAAAAGTGAACCTATATTTATAATTTTTTGTGGAGATATTTAGTACCCAATAAGAACTCAATGTACCAAATTTCAGAGTATTCGGTTGAAAAACGCGCTCAAGAACCCCAAAATACCGAAAATTGGGAGGTACTGTTATATGGAAGCTATGCCTAAACGTGGACCGATATATCCCATCTTCGAACTTGACCTGCCTGCAGACAAAGGACAGCCCTATGCAAAATTTCAGCACCCTATCTTAATTCCTTCAGAAGATAGCGTGATTACAACAGACGGACGGACATGGCTAGGTCGTCTCAGAATTTTACCCTGATCAAGAATATATATACTTTATAGGGTCGGAAATGAACCCTATTGAAATTGGAGAAAATCAGTTCATATTTATATATAGCTCCCATATATAGTTTCGTCCGATTTTATGTGAATTATGCACCAAACTCCCAATATTTGTCAGATTGAAACAAAATTTTGCACAGAGTACTGACTTAGGTCCAGACTGATGTCTGCGAAGTTTTGTTAAAATCGGCTCAGATTTAGATGTAGCTCCCATCTATAGTTTCGTACGATTTTTTGTGAATGATACACCAAACTGCCAATATTTGTCCAATTAGGACAACATTTTCTCCCTTATATGGGGACTATCCGAATAAAATTGACCTATATTTATAATTTTTTTGTGGAGAGATTTGGTACCAATTAGGAACTCAAAATACTACATTACAGCCATTTCGGTGGAAAAATACGATCAAAACCCAAAAAATACTGAAAATTAGGAGGTACCGTTATATGGAGCTACCAGAAAAAGTGAACCTATATTTATAATTTTTTGTGAAAACATTTAGTACCCAATAAGAACTCAATGTACCAAATTTCAGCGTATTCGGTTGAAAAACGCGCTCAGGAACCCCAAAATACCGAAAATCGGGAGGTACTGTTATATGGGAGCTATGCCTAAACGTGGATCGATATATCCCATCTTCGAACTTGACCTGCCTGCAGACAAAAGACAAACGTATGTAAAATTTCAGCACCCTATATCAATTCCTTCAGGAATAATTATTGCAATATCGTATGTTTTTGCATTTATACTCCCATTTATACTCCTTAAGTACATTAATATGTAAAAGTGAGATAAAACCACGCTTACTACAAGTCGAACACGATTATAGTAAACACTGGATATACTGAAAAAAATGTTTTCATATGCCACTTTTTATTTTTAATCAATCCTGAAAAAAGTAAAAAAAAGTAAATTTTTGATAGTTTATATTCTAAGGGGAACTCAAGTGCGCCATTTCCTTTTCTCCACTATTTAGATTTTTTTTCTTATAATCTTTCCTTCGACAACCTATTTGCGGTTTAAGAGTCACGTTATTCATTTTGTAATCGTTTTAAAATACGCCTTGATTTTTTAAATTTTTTTATTTCTTTAATTTTATTTTCAAAGTTTAGAGTTTGGCAAAGATTTTCACCGCTTTTAAGACACTTTTACGCAAAAAATCTTACAGATTCATAAAATTCGACATGTTTTCTTTTTAATGACATCAAAAAATATTTTATTTTCCAAAATTGAAAAAATGACGTTTTGCCCAAAAAACTGTCCAAATTACCTATAGTGCACTGTAACTTTGCCAATCCTCAAACGATTT